AAAAAGAAAACTGGATAAAAACCTGTAAATAAACAGATTAATCAGTATTTTATTTAGGAAACAGTGAAACTCCTTCAGGTGGACGTGTTCGTGTGGCGGCGCTCAGAACCCAGAACATGTTTGTGGATCAGGATGTGATTCAGACTCTGGTCTGTTTTTAGCTGCACATCTTCTCTGAAGCCTCCTCCAGTGAAACCAGTGACCAGAAGCTGCTGCTGCTCTTCATCTGAAGCTTCCTGCAGAATCAACTGTTTGTTTTTCTCTGCAGGTCGTCGTCCTGCTGCTGCTCCAGTCTGACGGAGGACCAGAGGAAGAAGAAGATCTCTGAGGAGCTTCTCATCACATCTGAAACAACATCAGACATCTGCAGCGTTTCTACTTCCTCCTTCAACTAAATATAGATGGATCCAGATATAGATCCAGATATATTTAGGTCTGAACTCTGGAGGTTTGTTTATTTATGAGATATTTAACACACATTTATGTTTATTTTGAATTTACACAGTCCAAATTATAAGTTAACATTTGTCCACTACTATTAGTATTATTGTTGTTGTAAATAATAACAATAATAATACGACAAATAATTAAAACTTTAAAACTCATATTTTAAACTCTTTAAGTCCAAGTTCAGTTCAACAATTTTGCCTTCAAATCAATTTATTTCTGTCACAATTTTAACTTTATTATTATGAATATTATCATTGATTTACAAGCTTAACAACAAGTTAAATTAATTAGACTGTTTTTAAAACCTCATTTTTAACATAATCAGTGAAGTTTTGTAAAGAAAATGGAAAATCTTTGAATCTTCTGGTCAGATGTTGTAAATTAAACCCTGAATCCTTTATTAGGATAACAACAGGCTTTGATTTCATCTAAATACATCTTTAAAGTGACTTTATTCTCCTGTTGTTCCTCTTTAGTCAGTGAGTGGCGCCACCTGCTGGCTCAGAGCGACACCTGCAGTGAAACTAATTCATTCATAAAGAACCAGATTAAAGTCTATCAGAGAAAAGGCAGCTTTCAGGATTATTAACTGTTTATTCCCAACAAAAGCTGTTTTAATTTACAGATTGGACTGATTCTGTTCACGCCGACCTTTAATTAAGACACTTAATTGATCACTTTAAGGGTTTTTTCAGAAACCTGGATGTTTTTGTGGAGCTGCACTTAAGTTTTAAACATTAAACTGTCTTTTATAACTATTATCATCATGTTGGCAGTTTAACTTCACAGCTTTAACATCTACGACTTTGTCTACGTTTTGAAATGTTCGATCACAGTTTGTCAGGATAAAACTAACTTCAGCCCGAAAAGAAAGAGTGTGAAACAGGAATGATGCTGCACATCACATGAAACAGAACCTGGGCCACCAGAACCTATCAGCCATGTCTACACGCCTCAAACACAACTCAGACACCAACTACATGAATTATCACACATGGACATCGATGTAGCGCCACCCAGTCAACCCACTGGCCAACATGCAAATTAATACGTTTTATGTGATTTTAGTCGTTAAAAGTGTCCAAAACCTTGAATTTCTTCCACTTTGGAGGCGAGTTGGAGCAGCAGCACATCAGAAACATGCAGCTCCAGATGATTCCTGCAGAGACGACGAAACACAAACTACAGACAGAGAAGACGCAAAGTCAGAGACAAGCAGTGGTGCAACAGAAACACATGGAGAGGAGAGGAGAGGTGCATCATGGGAAGTCCAGCAGTCACTGAGCAGCAGCTTCATCATAAAGACAAGTTTAGAGAAACAC